TACAATCTTGGCGAACCATATGTAGCTAGCAGCTGCAGAGATGGCGGAGGAGCATGTTGCAGCGCCCGAAGAAGGAGGAACATCGACTTCGTGACAAATAAGCGGCTTTTCAAAAGTTAGCCAGACGACAAAACTTCTAATAACCATATGTGGCTGACGTTCTCATGCTGTCCACAGGTGTGGTGATTGATGGCTTTGCGTGGTGATCCGTTTCTGGTCGTCTTGTCTCTCGGTCGGGGGATAAGCGCGTCGGCGTTGATCGAGCTCCCAACAGCGCAGACTGTACTTGTAACCATCACGCATAAGTGATGTGTACTGCTAACCTTGGAACATTCGTTGAGATGCTCTGGTGATAGCAGGAGCGATGGGGCGGCGGAGGACTCGCTTACTGCTAGCGTATCTTGGCACCAACGCAGCTGCGAAAATGAGTTTCGTGAATTTCCTCTTCGACTTCTGACAAGCGCCAACTAACCCCAACGACAACACAGATTGCACCAGGAGACCCGACATCAGGTACGCTATACAGAACGTTCTCTACTCGATTATACGGAGCCGTTCGGCATTGCGACATCGACGCTGCCCCGCGAATGTTCCGCCGCCGTCAGCCTCCGCCAATGGATTGTATAGTCGCACGCGAGTCGCCCGATATCTACACTCCCACAGCAGGCAGTACAAGGCGGAGGACGTTTCGGGCAGTTGGAACAATGCTGCGGCTTCGTCGACTTGCAACTGAGAGCAAAGGCTAATTTGATTGTGGACACAGCGTCTTCTGAACAACCGCAATCATGGGGTATCTATCCTTCCCTCACCCCCCACTCCGCTGCAGCCACTAACACTCGCCAGTATCTCACGAGACTCTCGCCACAAGCGTTCCGCGTCCGGTGCGAAGCGCGCATACTACCGCAAGAAGAGGTATGCATAACCCGATCGCTTCTCTAGTCATGTCTAACATGGCTTCAGGGCTTTCGAGAAGGGCCGCCAGCCTGCCAATACCCGTATTGGCACAAAGCGTGTCCATCTTGTCCGCACTCGTGGCGGCAACCGCAAGTTCCGTGCTCTTCGTCTCGAAGCCGGTAACTTCTCCTGGGGCTCCGAGGGCATTGCCAAGAAGACCCGTGTCATCGGTGTCGTCTACCACCCCTCCAACAACGAGCTCGTCCGTACCAACACCCTGACCCGCTCCGCTATCGTCCAGATCGATGCCGCTCCCTTCCGACAATGGTACGAGGCCCACTACGGCTCTTCCCTCGGCCGCAGGAGGCAGGCCAAGGCCGGTGAGAAGGAGGAGGACAAGAAGAAGTCCAACTCGGTCTCCAAGAAGCAGGCCGACCGCTTGAAGAACGGAGGAAAGATCGAGAACGCTGTTGAGAAGCAGTTCGAGGCCGGTCGTCTGTACGCCGCTGTCTCTTCCCGTCCCGGCCAGAGCGGTCGCTGCGACGGCTACGTCCTCGAGGGCGAGGAGCTTGCTTTCTACCAGCGTCTGCTCAGGAAGTAAGGGTGATATTTGGGGCTTCTTCGGTGCATTGGTCAGGTCAAAATGGGTGTTTAGTCATGTATCTGGTCTGCATAGTCGCGGGACACTGAATGCACTCGGCATGATAACGCCACTTCTCTAGATACCACGAGACTACGAATCATGGGTTTCAAATGTTCATGTGAACGTTCTTTTCTTTCAAGCTCTTGTCCGCAGACCTTGTTTCCATTGCGCCTCATCGTCGATCCAACATGACCAAGACTCTTCCCCGCTACGAAATGATCAGACGTCGTTGCTTCATTCAAGGCACATTGCTATCGCAGTATTACCGTGTATACCACAAGTAAAAAATCCGATGATGTGGCTGGGACCGACTGTGCGTGTGTTCATCATGTACTATTCGAGCAATGGCCTTTCACATGTCACCCCCTCTTCCGCTCTAGACTAATCGCACTTCTTCCCAAGCGCATCTCTACCGTCCATACACTGTACATCCGAGCGCCTGGATCATACCTCGGCACACGCCCGCCTACAGTTTCGAGGCCGCAACTGGGGAACCGACCTGTGGTAGCCGCGTTAGCTTACGTTCACATGCTTGAGTGATATTGGGTGGAAGCAGGGTAGTGGTAGTGAGATTTATTAACTTTATTCGTTTTGGCTACAGACTCTCAGGGTCTGGACATTGGTATAAGGTTACAGGATATAGCAATAGATGTAAGGAAAGTGCAAGGTATCGCAAAGTGTAGACTACAACTTGGCGGCTCCCTTGGGCGCACCTACGTTTGTGATCTCGTTGTAGAGTAGTCTGAGACGTTGTTAGCATGTGTCGTCAACAAAAAGATGGGGTTGGACTTACGATGTCAAGAACTCTGCATAGTCCTCGCCTGTGACCTGTCCCTCAAAGTACTTGGCCGCAAGATGGAACTTGTTGCCCTTTGGTGCCTTGTCGCTGAGTGCCTTAGCCTGCTCGTGCAGAAGCTTGAGCGCGTAGTCCTTGGTCACCTTCTTGCCCTCGGCAGTCTCGACATTGTGCCTGGTCCATTGCCACAGTTGGCTTCTTGAGACCTCGGCTGTAGCAGCGTCCTCCATGAGGTAGTTGATGGGTACACAGCCGACACCACGGACCCAGGCCTCCATGTAGCTGAGACCGATGTCAAGGTTCTTGCGAATGCCGTCCTCGGTGACCTTGCCGGGCACGTTCATGTTGAGGAGGTCGTTGGCGGTGATGTGGACGTCTTCGCGGCGGACGTGCATCTGGTTGGGCGTAGGCATGTGCTCGTTGAAGACTTCGCTCGCGATAGCCGCAAGGGCTGGGTGAGCTACCCATGTACCGTCGTGGCCGGCGCGTGCCTCGCGGAGCTTGTCGGCGCGCACCTTGGCCATGGCAGCATCGTTCGCTTTCGGGTCCGTCTTGATGGGGATCTGAGCAGCCATGCCGCCCATGGCGTGAACGCCACGCCTGTGGCAAGTCTTGATGAGAAGCTTGACGTAGGCGTCCATGAAGGGCGAGGTCATGGTGACGGAGTCGCGGTCGGGGAGGACGAAGTTGGGGTTCTGGCGGAAGCGCTTGATGGTGCTGAAGATGTAATCCCAGCGACCGCAGTTGAGACCTGAGGAGTGGTCGCGGAGCTCGTAGATGATCTATGTAGCAGTCAGTACAATCCATATGTGTTGATGGCATGCTCAACGTACCTCATCCATCTCGAAAGCGGCGGTGATGGTCTCGATCAAGACGGTGCCACGAATGGTTCCGCGCCTCATGCCAATGTAGTCCTGCGCCAGGTTGAATGCATCGTTCCACAGCCTAGCCTCAAGATGCGACTCCATCTTGGGCAGGTAGAAGTATGGTCCCGCTCCGCGCTTAACGAGCTCGTGTGCGTTGTGGAAGAAATACAGTCCAAAGTCGAACAGCCCACCAGAGATGGGCTCTCCATCAACGGTGAAGTGCTTCTCCTCGAGATGCCATCCTCTCGCGCGAGCAATAAGTGTGGGGAGTGTTCGGTCGGTGCGGAGCTTGTACTCTTTCTCGCCTTGCTTGAAGTCGACTTGCTTGCGGATGGCGTCGTAGAGGTTGAGTTGACCGTTGATCATGTTGTCCCATGTTGGTGCAGATGAGTCTGGTGGAGGTTAGCTATCATCCCTTCCACATCCAGGATTGAATACATACCCTCAAAGTCGGCCATGTATGTCCAGACGTTCGAATTCAGGGCGTTGACAACCATCTTGCGATCTGTCGGGCCCGTGATCTCGACGCGCCTGTCAACGAGACCTGGCGCGGGAGGTGCGCCCTTCCAAGCATCGTTCTCACGGATGTGCTTGGTTTCTGGGAGGAAGTCGAGAAGATTTCCCTTGTCGAGCTCAGCTTGTCGGATTACTCGTCGCTGAAGCAGCGCCTTCCGGCGCTCATTGAATGTGCGGTGGAGAAGCGCAAGGAAGACACAGGCGTCCTTGCTGAGGATGTGACGGTTCTGGTCGTTGAGGTCGCCGAGGATGTTGACCTCCCGCAGGATACTATCGGCGCTAGCTGCCATTGTGAAAGGTGTAAATGTCTGATACAATTGATGGATATGTTCAAGTATTCAAGGTACGAAGGGAGGAATGCAATGGGGTATGCAGCGTGCGGAGAGGGCTGGGCGGTCGGCAGATAATATATTCATGATACAGACGTCACCCATCTTGACGTCTGGGCCGAGGATCTTCTGGGTCGGCAGACTGATGCAGGCTAGTCGGCTGGCCGTGAATGGTAAACGCCAGGCCCACGTTCGGGGGAGGGGAGCTCCAAGCTTGTGACGGTGCCAAGTCCGGAGCTGAGATGCGGGGATAACCCAGCCCGTTAGCACTAACTCGCCCGATCAGCACGGCAAACCCTGAGCAACAGTGGGCTAGAAGACGAGTAGACGCGAAATATCTCTGCGCAGTATCGCCGTAGTAATGATTTTCAGAGGGATTCGTGGATATCTGGGGCTGCTGACGGAGTGCGCCGGCAACTGACGGAAGTCGCGATGCTGATGCGTGATAGCAAGCGCGTCCCCGATAGCTTCGCCGGCCACTTCCGATGGCGCGTACAACTAAGAGTGCGCATTCTGACCACGGCACTTACACCAAATCCTGGAGTCGCGCAACGTTCTTATGATTCTCAGTCATGTCCAGCAGCAATGGGCGATGTCGATCACCGAGCGAAGACGTCAATGGATCGTCATCCTTCCACGGCGAGCAGCACGGGAATAAGATCACCATGATGCATCGTAAGGCCATGCAAAGCACAAACTGTAGCTGTGTCGCGTGAAAACATGCGATGATATCTTACCACGCTATCCCGCATCTACGAGTGAAGAGGTTACCATACCCTTACACGCATGACTTGGGGGCGAAGTTGAGGTTTGTTGGAAGCATGTTGAGGTTTGGATTGGCATTTCACCTCGCGGACGGCTCTTTAGCATACCTTGACTAATCCATTGCACAGGCATACTAGCTACGGGAATCCTGTCACCTCTATCATCCCTTCCAAGCTCTCATCTCCCAACCTCTATAGCTTCTTTGGGGTAATCGCAAAAGGTTTCGCCTCGCCCTTCAAGCCAAAGCTGCAGACTCCACTTCCACCACATGAACCAGCGAGGTTCTGGCCGCCCGTGAAGTAACCTTCCGCTTCATACGTCGCCGTATATTGCGCACCCTGGTACTTGACGTCGGCTACGTGGGTAAACTTCAGGGTGAAGTCGCGAGTTCCGAAACCATCGCTTCCCTCCAGGACGTTCATGACCCAATAGCCATCGGATGTGCCATCGCACGGCCAAGTCCGGTCTAGGGGGTTTTCGCCCTTAGTGTACCATTGCGCTTTGCAGTTCTAGGGACGCATCAGCAAACGTACTGGAGTAAGAGAGGAAATTTTAGACGTACAAGTCCTTGACTTCCAGCTGGCGCGGTGACGTTGGTAGCATCGAATCTTGCGGGACCGAGATCGATCACATTGGGATCCGTCACGTCGGCTGTGATGGAAGCCCATGGATAGCTACCAGGGCGTCCCGACGGCGTGTAGACATTCACCCTGGTGACTTGCCAGTCTTGAAGCGCACTCTGACGGGCCGCCAGGGGTGATGCAGCGGCTGAAGACGTAATTGCCAGAACGGCAGCAAAAGCGGTTTGTGTGAAGTGCATGGTGAAGATTGGTTCAAAGTACTTGTTGGTAACTAAGAGATGGGATCTTCTTTCACCGACATCCCTTCCACTCTTATATATGACTCTAGGCGTCCAATACGAACATCGTCATCATCGTACATCCGCCTTCCCGAACAGGTACCCACGATCCTGCCTTGATGAAGAGCTTCACACGGCACGTTGCATTAGTCACCCCACAGTCAGGCACCCCGGGCCTAATTATAGCAGGATCGACGTCAGCGTACTTGAACACTTCCCACTTTACAGTGCTGCGTTGTTGATTCTCGTACGATACTGCCCGAGAGATTCGAATATATATACACTGGGTGACGAGCTCGACCTGAACCTTCGAAAAAAACATTTTCGATCCGCGCATTTCATTACCATGGCCACAGCTACTATATTGCGAAGAATTGGTCGCACAGTATCGGCCTCAAGTAGCGGCAGTCGATACACAACACCATCCTGCCGTTCTCGCCTCGGCTTACATATGGCGCATCCAAATCTCGAACAAGGAATGTCGGCATGGCTATTTCCCCAAACCTGAGCTGCGTGTACAAAGGCGGAGGCCCCTCACCCATTAGAGGAGAATTCTTTGGGAAGACATTATTGTATGCAGAATTGACAATAACTTCCAGAATTATAACACGAGTCCATCTCGTACCAAGTGTAAGTCTTGGTCTCGAATCGATCTAGCTGCATCTCAAAAAAGCAAGAATAGTTCCTGCCAAATCAACTATGCAGCCTCTTGGGAATTGCACCCCCGTAACGGCCAAATGTCTCCTCTCCGCCTTTTCTATCACCCTCTTGTACTATCCCATCAATTCCAAGAACTCGCGAAACCTAACATAATCCTCGTATCGCTCCTGCAGCCGTCGTCTAGCTTCATCCTGTCGGCGTACCCTTCTGCGTCGTAAATGAATCGCACAGTCTTGTGAAAAGAGAAGCATTAGCCTGGACAAAGCATATTATACTGAGAACAGTTCCAACTTACTGTGGAAAGGCCTGTACAACCACTCACGCAATGTTGGAGAGGCGACAAGAACAGCAATGAAGATGCCAACTACCGCTACGCAAACACTGACTAGGGTGAAGATGTCTTGTCGTGACCATCCCGCTTGAGCTCGAGCGGAAGTTGCGGGAAATTGCTGATTGACGATGTCTTCATGACGAGCGTTCGGAATGAGGGAGGCTTTGGTGATGGCTATCTGGAAAAATATAATGTTTGCTATGATAAGTGCCTCCATGATTAGCATTCATCCTGTCACGCATATGAATATGCTATTCACGCGGGCTGATAGAAAAGTGAGGAGAACATATCTCATAGCCCCCAGCGTATTAATGTTCTCGAGGCTTCAGGGTCTCAGTGTATGCACAACGCTTGGACCAACTTTTATGCAGGCACTCCGGCAGGCGGGCTGAGTCGAGCGATGTCATGGGAATGAAAACTCTGCGGGGGTTAGCGTCGAGCGATTTCATAGGCAGGCGGTCGGGCTGGCGTTTTGCGTTGAGCGATGCCATAGGGTGGAGGACTCAGGCGGCTTCAAGTACGCGCCGCATATACTGACGGGCGCACTCGCACATACACGGGCATGCACTTGGCAGGTGAGCCTCAATAAGTGCTATGTTTGCATGCATAATTATCTCACCGTGAATTTCACCACGCGTGGTCGGTCGGGTGCCTGCGGGCGGGCATTAACACGCTACCTTGTTCTTCAGGTGGTTCCGAGGTTGGCTACCTAGGTATTGAGGTTTCTTTCCCCCCAACAATGAAGAACCACCATGTCAGCAGCGACAAGACCACGCGACATGGCTGAAGTTAGACAGTTGACCTGGTGGAATGCCGTCTCATGCTTCAATATCATGACAGAGCTCGCGACCTGGTTGCGCTGCATCCATCGCCCCCCTGTCACTCTTTTACAGTCCCATGAGGCTAACAGGCGCGGCTGACGAGGCCTTTGTATACATGCGCCACACATACATCTCACGTATGGAAGGAACCGAAACAAGTGCCTGCAGCCTACGTAAGTTCGAAACAACAGTTCGCTTGAACTTAAAGGCAATTTAGACTTCTTGATCATTGTATTCAGCGGGGCTGGGCGTCAATCTATACAGAATGAAGGCAGCTTCGACTCATAGTCCAGCATGTTCCATGCAGGCTTCTCGAGTTCCTCCTCCAGGCATCTCAAACACAAAGGCTCAGGTCCAAGAACGCCAAAGTTATAACCTCCAGTCTGACCACGTGACAAAATGCTCACTGCAGCCAGCCGTGCGGCCCAATTTCCATGCGCTCTAAAAACGCCAACGCCATTAGGCTCATCCAGCAACTCTTCCCAGCTGTCGATGGATGTGTAGTCGACGTCGCAATCTTGGCCATGCTTTCCTTCGCAAGACGCCATTGGTTTAAACCGAAGCATATCCTGAAAATCGACGTCGAGAATGTTGATGTCGCCGACCCAAACACCGCGGTCGTGGATAGATATAACGGCTTCTACTGCGTGCGCATCATGGTCTATCATGCGCGTGTCTTCGGTTGCGAGGGGAACTGTCCAGTCGGTGAAGGATAGGTGTAATGAGGTTGCACCAAAGTTGTCTTCTCGTTTGAAGTCGTATGGCTCGTGTGATACCAACTCATAGTTGTTGCTGAGTTCGCGAATTCGGGGTTCGACAGGTGAAACCAGTATCGAAATGCCTTGGCGGCCAATGTTACCCGTGATACTTCTCATTTCGTGGTCTGCTACTGAGATGAAAGGGTCGGATAGTACAACCGCTGGCACGTAAATTGTATCTTCTGAGCATAGAGCAAATGCATGGCTGAAGTCTTCGGGAACGAGATCGACCACTCCCGAGTCAAGCAGAGCTATACAGCCGAACGACTCGTTTCGATCGGGTAGCGGAGCTCGTAACGAAGTGAGAAGTGGCAGTCCATCAACCCGGAGATCTGAGTTGTTGCTCCGAATCTTCCATCTGTCAAACAAACATTTGAACCACGCAGCATCCGATAGATGCAGGGTTATCAGTTTCAGCGAGATTGTAGCATGGACGAGGTCGGTGTACACGTATGAAGCTGACTCCAGAGCATACAGCGATTTGCTGAAGCCAAGATCAAACTTGTGGAAGCCCGAGAACAATGACACCCCGGGGGCTCGGAGAGAGCTGTAAATCGATTCTTCTTCATTGAGGTGTATCAAAGAACACATGTAATCTCTCAATCGGGACGATTGTATTTTCGCTTCTTTGAACTTTTCTACTGAAGTCGAGAGAGTGTCTGTTTTCATGGTCTCGAGTCTCGCCTCTTCTTGATAAGACCGTAATGGATCGCGTCCTCTACGCGTTACACTACGCGCCTCGCTTTGGAGAAACAGGCCTAGACGCGAATCACCAAGAATAGCGTCGAAGCCGATCTCTACTTTAACTTTCTTGGATTGGCGACTCTCATCTTCATGGTGACGCGTGATGGTCGAATAGTTTGGTTGGTAGGGCAGTGGCGGATCCGCCCATCTGAAGTGAGTAGTATTCCCATCGAAGTCTGGCCGTGTTGCATAACGGATGCACAGCTCACCTCGACCGGCGATGGAATTTATTCTGTCTTCTAGAAACTTCGAGTTGGCGCCATTCGGGCAAATCCATGTCGTATGACTGTCCGAGTTGGCTTTCTGTACTGTGGCAAGCTCGTAGTAGTCGATTGCTGCAGCAGTGTGTACATTTGAAGCGCTGTGAGCGTAGCAGATGATTGCATCGCTTCCGTCAAGTTTCAGCTTCTCCGCTACGGCACGAAGGTAACGAATGCCAGAGTCGATGTCGAGCTTTTCTTGAAGTCCACACACTACGAGTGTATTGAGTAGACCAAAGAATGGCGAAGGGGTAGGCTCTTGATTAGACAAGAGCCACTTTGCTCTCCTGGTCCCGTGTTTTAACAATGTCTCGTTACGTTTGCGATCTTGATCGTTCGTAGTTAGAAGCTGATTTGCCGCAAGTACAAAAGGTAGGAGCCATCCGAATTCAGAGGATTTGCCTTCTTTGACGTCTTCTTCAGACATTCCCAGTCGAGACCACAGGAGAACAAACCATTCCGCTACTCTTTTATAGTCCCGTGAACTGACCCTCCATCTACCAAGCAGGCCACCCAACGCGACGATCTGTAGTTGACGAAAGGTCACTCTCGAACTTTCTTGGTTGCTGCTGACTACGACTGGAGCGCCATAATACTGTAGGTGTGATAGTGCTAGTGACCATTGCACACCTTCTCCTTCCGAAGATCTCCGGTTATTCTCTACACCAACAGTGCCTACTCCGGAGGAAGGGATGAGTTTATCTCTGAACTCAACTTTCTTGGGTTCAGGTGTGAACACAATCAGGTCTGGGTAGAGGTGCCACGCAGAAAACGCTACGAATACCGATCCATCGATGATGTCCTGTGGTTTGCCGGACAGGAATTGCTCGACAGCCAGCAATGATCGCTTCCACACGTTCATGACTTGCTCGTAGGTTGAAGGACCCCTGGGGATTGGAGTATTGATGTTTTTAACAATGAGCGACAGTTGACGTTGCGCAAACTGTTTCGATTTGTCCGCTCTGCGAAGCCAGGCTCTTGCACTACTGTCCCATAAAGCAAGATCTTTTCTGGTGATGTCTTGGCATGCACCAAGGAGCGAAGTGGCAGACACGTTGCCGTTGCTTTTGATTCCTTCTTCGATCTCGATCTTTCTTGCTGCAACTATCTCTACCCATATTGCTGTAGCTACTTTTGCGTCCCAAGCGCGAGCCAATAGGCAACTGAGGAGATACACTCCCAGAGCCGGTATCCCAGATGTTGCCGCAGCCCAGAGAGTCGTACCATCCGCTCCAACATATGGCTCGAACGGTCCATGTTGACCAGCGCCGATGTCATTGACTCCAGAGGCATTCATGATCTCCGACATTCGCCGCCCGTATGCAGATATCAGCTTTGGCGTGGATGGCACAACATCTTCGAACAAAGCCCCTAGCCGACGTGCTGTCTTGTGGGAAGGGCCTTCTTCAGCCTCAACTCGTCTTCTGGTAGAGAGCCCAGAAGCAATACCACTAAACTCGATTGGCGCTTCCATTTTGACGAGGGAGAAATCGAACTTGATATTTGCTAGCGCAGCATAGTTCTCGTTGGTCGCAGAGAAGACGGACATTAGTTTGGAGGGGAGGCCCGACATCACGAGCACATGTCCGGGCCCCAAGTTGTAGTGGAGGACTCTGGAAGAAGCTCAGGTGGAAAATCAAGCGGAAGTAATCTCAAAAGGTTGACATAAGTGCGCCTCGCTAGCTGGGACGATAGGACTGATAAGAGGCACAGCCTACAGTATGGGGCTGAGTGCTGGCATGGCGTTAAATTGCAGGACGTCTGTCACTGGCTGTGGTAGGAAGCTGAATGAGGGGTAAATCCACAAGCCACATCAAACCAGGGCAAGATTACACAGCCCTAGCCACCCACAGCAGGTACAAGAAATAAGCATCCAAGAAGTCTACATTGCTTTAAGATTTTATCAAAGTCTATTTTGATATTGATGTAGACTGCAGGGTGTTTTTAGCTTTCTTTGAATGTGGTGAGGCCATCTAGGCAGGTAGCGGACTTTGCACGTCGCAGGTTTCGAGAACATCATAAGCTGTCGCTTTGCGGCATATGCGATCACCAGGCAGATAATGATAACGCTTCGAGAGAAAGCGACACGCATATATGTGCAAGCTTGCATTAACAAAAGACGAGGTAGAGCTAGTGGACGGTGTGGAAGTGTGGTGGTATTGGTGAACGGAAATGTAAGTATTTCACTGTAGCTGCTCCATCTGGTCGATGCAAATGTCCAGTCTACAAGTTTGCGCGGTCGATACGCTTGCCGCTTTCGTCAAATCGAATCTGCTTCCCGCTGACGAGTGCCTCCTGCAACCAAGCTCCGATCTGTACAGCCTTGACAGCGTTCTGGAACTCCAATGGTACCGGGGTGTTATCCAAGCACGCCGCGGTGAACTCATTTGCCTCCTTGACGAAGCCAGGCTCGAATCGACCCCAGTAGTCGCTGGGTACCTCTCGGGTGATACCAGCCTTGGAGTAGTAGTTGACCAGGTTCTTCTGGGGATTGAGGTTGACGGTCAGCTTTCCCTCGGTACCGATAATCTCGGTAACATCCTCTTGACCGTGCGTCATCATGCGAGAGGCATAGTAGTGTGCGATTCTGCCGTCCCAGAACTCAACGATACCAACGGCGTTGTCGTAGTCCTTGTGTTGCTTGAGGCCTGGCAGGATGGCGACAACACCGTTCGCGGAGATGGACTTGGGCACCACGTTGGAGCCGAAGTACCATAGAGTTAGATCGATGTCGTGCACGGACATGTCGACGAATACACCGCCAGACCATGCAGCGTACTGAACGAAAAAGTCTAGGCGAGACAGTCAGTAAGCAGCTCATCAAGATATGAGTTATCTCATTTCGTACCTGGGTCAGGGTGTTGCCTGTCGCAGGTTTGTGACCGGACAACAGTCGGTCTGCCGATTGCGCCTTCCTCAATCTTCTTCGCAACATCTTGGTAGCTGTCATCGAAGCGCCGTGAGAAACCGCACATGACCTTGAGATGAGGCTTCTTCGCAGCTGCGTCAACGACGTCTTGGCAAATCTGAACACTGGTGGAGAGAGGCTTCTCGCAAAGGACGTGTAAGTCCTTCTCGATAGCTTGGAGAGTCTCCTCAGCATGTACCGAGGTTGCAGTGCCGATCACTACAGCTTCGAGACCCTTGTGCGCGAGCATCTTCTTGTAGTCGTCGTAGAGTGTCACGCCGTATGGCTCGAGGTGTTCTTTGCCCCATTTGAGCTCTTGTTTATCTGGAGAGAATGCGGCGACAAGCTCAGCGCGGGGGGTCTTGTTCAAGATGTTCAAAGCGTGTCGGGCGCCCATGCGGCCGAGACCGGCAACAGCGACTTGCAGTCTGTGAGGAGCCATCTTGAAGCGATTAGGAAACGAGTAAAGTTCTGGATAGTTTGAGATAGCAAGAAAGAGAGAGGTAGTCGAATGGAGTGAGCGCGGAGTGAGGGCTGTGAGGAAGACATTTTATACGAATTGTGGGCAGATCACTAATTCTCGTGCCTTTCGGAGGAGGTTTTCGTCGATGTTTTGTCCATCTTCGGCTCGGCCTCTAATTGGCTAGACAGCGTTCGTATGAAGTTCGGAGGAGGTTTTCGCAATGCAATGCACGCCAGTGTGGGGAACATGCGGGCGGCGTGCTTCAAATGGGTGCCAGCAAGACTGTGCGGGGCTCGGAGGAGGTTTTGGAGCGTAAAATACGCCAGCGTCAAGGCGAAGATCCGGCAACAAGACCGTGCACGAAGAAGGTGCAGCGATGGCAAATAACCCCGCGACGGCAATTTCTTCCGCCCAGCACCTTCTCATCACCAAAGGCCGCACTTGCTTCGGCACGAGACTCCAGGCTCATGTCTCCACGTCGCGACCCCGGATAAACCGTGTTTGACGTTCGCCGCCCGCTGTTAGCTTACTGCGTAGATACCTTCGGCTTCTCATAGTCGCTTCAAACTTGGCAATGGAGAGAGAGGCCACGAATGGGAATGATAGAATATTCTAGTAATACAGTGGGTAGACTTCTGAAAATGCAACACTGCTCTCGACTGTGAACCAACCTTGGAACACTCAAGACCGTGCTGCCTCGAGCCTCTCGACACCCGTCATCTTAGCGAGCCTCGTACCGTCAATCGCTCATAGTGTACATGATAATACTGTTCATGTAAGGGTGTCTGTTCGCCATCGCTAGCCGTGCGCGCCCAGGTACTGGCGCATTGCAATGGTGTAAACGCCTGGTCATACACCGGAAAGTTGGGACGTATTAATTCTGCGTACAGGCTTCCATGTTAGCTTGGTCGATACTGGATTTAGTAACATTGCGGCATGAATGCGCACCATCTGAGGTTGGACTGCGACGAGGTCCGCTGCGTGACTTCCTCCGCTTCGACCACGCTAGCGTGGACGCGATCCCTAAAACGGCAACAACCACGCCAATAACACCTATGATCGCTTCTGTGGACAACTGCTTATCTCCAGGTTTACTATCCATGCTTGCTGCATCTTCTTGGTAGAGGCTTGTATGTGATTGACTTGGGGCAGCCTGGACAGTAGCGACAAGGGCGAAAGTGCTTGCAAGAATGAGACAAGTCATTTGTACCTGATGTTGCAAAGAGTAAAAATGGGTTTGGGTCATCAAGCAATATGATTGCAAACTCAGATAGCAGAAGCATAAGGGCACAAGAGCCTCCAGCCTGGCATTGCATTCTTGTTGTGCCTTCGAATTGTCCAAGACTTGCACTGCCCCACTGCCAACCCTACGCACTAAGCCGCTTTTGGTTGAGGCGGCCCTGGAGCGGGACAACGGTTAGCGCCGCCCCGCCCTAATCCCGATACGGTGTAGCTTAGGTACTGTTGATGTTTTGTAGATGTTCCTGCCCAGGTGCAAGGAAGACCGATAAAATCTCCGGCAAAAAGGTTCCCACCGCCAACTCCCACCAACAACAACAAAATGAACGAAACTCTTAGAGAACTCCATCGCGATCTTGCCAACAAGTACCGACAGCATGGCCCCCGGATCGAGGAGAGATGGCGTTCGCTCAGCCAAGAACAGCGCAAGAAGATCATGCAGGCTGGCTCTCGTGATGGCGCTGTCCTGAAGCATGCTGAAGATACGAGCTTAGAGAATGTCTACAAGTTCATTCCCGAATGGAATATACGCGACATCACTGCCCCTTCATCAAACTTCTTCCTCGATATGCTAAAGCACCGGGCAACCCTACCACTCAAAGACCAATACGCGACAGGGTTCAATGGACGTCCAGGCGATCACGCGCATATAGTTGATATGATGCAGAGGAAGAACCTACGGCTCCAAGACGCCGCCCAATACAAGAATTGTTACACGCTCTTCTTGACGGAAGATGGCTACGGCGAATCAGTCCAGATCCTCGCAGAAAAGCGGGAAGAGGTTTTGGCAAACATGAAGCCGGCCATACAAGCTCAAGTCATAGTACCCCAAGCTACTGGCGAGCTAATTCTCATGCGACAAGTGAACCTGATGCAGCTACTCAACATCAGCATCGAAGACATTCTCGATACCGCGTCTACCACGCGAACCCAGACGAAGCGCCCGAAGAAGCCAGCCGACGAGGCGACTGCAGCTCTAGCAAAGTTATCCGTACACTCGGCTCCGAAGAAGGCCGAACTCTCAGACCTCGCTGACATGGCTCGCGATCAGGTGTCGTTGCGTGAAGATCTTATTAGTCTCATCTCCACTGAGCCCACGGTCCTAGCCCATGAAGTCAACTTTTGCTTCTTCAGTAGGCCGGAACTTGTCGCCGACGAGAAGGGTCGTATGTTGCCTGTACATACAGATAAATACATCAGCGGTGCTGTATTCGATGCCGTCCAGAACGCGGTAAAGATCGCTGCCACATGGAACTACATTGGCCGTCTCATGGATTTGCTGAAGGAGTCATCAGACAAACAGTTTCGAGCGACTATCCTCAAGGAGCTGTCGAACACTTGCCAGCTGGAGTATCTGCGCGCTCAGAATGGATTCAAACGTAGTGTGGCCGTCGGCATGGGAGGCGGCAAGTGGTTCAAGCGCATGTCGACCGTACAGAAGGATGACGTTCCGCGCATCTTGCTGAAGCGAAGCCCCGAGTCTTTAACAGTAGAGAACCCGCAGTTACACTACATGCTTCGACTCTGCCAGGAGGATACAAATTGGTCCGGGGCTGCGCAGTGGCTTCAGAAGCTAGAAGATCTCCATCGAGCCCATCCGCTAGAGCGAGACAATCTCTCGGAACGAGAATACGACTGTCTCGGAGACCTGGCCATCATCGTCACCTTCATCCAATCTCTTTCGTTAGTCGCGCAATTACCCGCACCGAACCACAAGAAAAGCCAGCCATTCGTACCGAGCTACACAACTTTGGACAAGGAGCTGAGGTCGTTGAAAGACGGTATAGACCTCGGCGAGTACGCCATTCCGATCGACAACTTGCTGGAGCCGGGCATGGCTGAAGGCGCTCTTGCAGCACTAGATCAGTATGTCGTTGAGAAGGCTGGTACCAAGCTCGGCTTTCTCTACCAGGATCTGGTTGCGGACTGCGTTTTGAGCATTCAGCAACAGTACGAGCAACAAAAGTTGAAAGCTAGTCAAAGCCAAGCTGAATACAAAGCACCATCAGCTCCCGAGACCCCAGCGTCGAGCATCGAGCAGCGCAGGCAGAAGGAGAAGACAAGGCCAGCGCAACCTTTCATCTACGACATAACGCCACAAGCCACCACAGATGACCAGCCCGTTTCATCAAAGGAGACCTTTTACGTCAAACCCTCCACTGCCGCCGTCTTCTCATCGCTATTCTCGAGGTCATCGGCAGCTCGGAGCCCAGTACGATGGGACGCGTTCGTGGCTGCCATGACTGACTTTGGTTTTACCATCGATCCCAAAGTCGGCTCAATCTACACATTTGTTCCTCCTGAGAAGGTATCGGTGCGGAGGGATGTAACTCTCCATCGGCCGCATCAGGCAAGTATTGAAGGGCGACTCCTTCTGATCTACTCCCGGCGTTTGAAGAAGGTGTATGGCTGGGATAGCTCCACGTTCGTTGCAGAGTAGGCGTAGTTGATGTTGTGTAGATAGGTATGTAGGCGCTGAGCTTTGCTCATAAGACGATATGATCGCGACCTGGGAGCGCGATTTCATAAAAACGTTTCAGCATGCAAGATTCCGGTGTGTGATTGGGGTTGCGCACCCTTCGAAAGCTCATTGCGCAAATGACATGCTATTCTGGATGTGATCCAAGTTCACCTCAGATACGTACAAACCTAACAGGTCTGCAGAGTACATTGTGATGAGACCAGCAGATTAGAAAACATACCTTGATGTAGGCCTCAGGGTGTTCAGTTTCTGCCTTGATTGACGTGAACCCATGGCAATGCTTTGGCGCGCCGACTGTCTTGTTGTCGCGTCAGACGAGGGCGCCAAATTTGGGGGGCTGGAACGGCGAATTTCAAGGATCAGCAGGGCTCCTGCCGCCGGCCCGCACCCGCACCTGCTTCTCTCCTCCAACACCACCACATTGTGATCGCGATGGACTCATGTGACGCGACACACCAGCGAGAGCATTATCCGCACGCCTAAGACCATAGCCATTCACGAGCCCCCCATTCAGGCAGACATTGCTATGTACTGAGCCTCACTTTGTGCGGCAATGTGATCCGTGTTCGGCTTTCTACGCCAGGAAGCCACGTCGGAAAGCAAGCCACGCCTGAGGCTCGCAGTCTAGCCCTCAGGCATGGCGTCAACCCGGATCAATCATTCGCTGGACGAGACATCCAGGCGCGGGGTACATTTCCAGCTGAGTGAATGTTCATGCGCAAGCTCCTCAAGGCAACATTGAGGCGCAGCGGTTGAGGCGCCTTTACATATAGCTGGACACAAAGGCTGAAAACGCGATGTACAATTCCACTGGTTTTCGACACTCTGTACCTGCAAGCCTACCATATAAACCATGGCCACTCCCCCACTCATTGAGAAGCAAGTATATCTGGCGCTCAAGGACATTTTCAGCGATGGTCCAACACCGCCTAGCACCGAGAAAAAGATTCGCAAGAAGATCAGGAAGCATAAGGGCGAAGCCAAGATTGCTACTCTGATTCAAAGATATGGAGTGGATAGGATCAACGCGGTAGCCTTCGCTCTGTCAGGAGACCAGATCTTTGCTTCAACCGAGAAAGCGAGAACACGCTTTCCTGATGTCTTTGGAGGTCTCTCTAATCAGCCCAGTCCACCAATTTCCCCCGTATCTCAGACTGGAACGAACAGCGCAGCGGCTGTGCAGCCTGCAGTTACCGAGTCCAGCACTGCAGCAAGTAGTGTAGCAGCTGCACAACGTGTTGCAGGTACATGCAGTCCCGAAGAACTCATGGGCATCGGCAACAGGCTTAAAGCTAGGAAAGAGAGAGAGAAGATCAATAATGGTACGTTGAATCAACGTATTCACAAGCCGTGCTGATAAGAATTCAAGCAACCTCGCACACGCAGTTGTTCGATTCCGTAGCCTTGCCACTCTGGGATCAGCACCGCATCCTCGTCAGGGTTCAATACACTCTCGAAAAGGCCTGCTTCGATTTTGCGCAGGAGAGGCTAGTTGGGATTTTGCAGCGAGAAGGCTGGGACTGCGCAGAGGCAGTCGAACTCAACCAATGGGCCAGAACATTACTGATCTACCGAGAAGAACTCAAATTGGACGACATGAAAGACGGTGTAGAGCCTCTGCCCGGTCTCATGGAATCGATTATCCAGCTCCGACATAACGCCGTTCACCGCGTTCGCCTGTCTTCCAGTGGGCTCTTACAGCACCTTACCGATGCTGTACTTCTTGCGCAGCTCTTACATGACGACAAATGCTGCAAATTTCTCTCAAATATACGACAGAGAACTCACAATGCTATCGAAGAGCTGGTACGCAACAAGCAGTTACTAGATGGGAGATTAGCCGATATCAAGAGAGAGTTTGCTGCAAAGAGAGCTGAGCTCGAGCGCCAAGAAGCTGCGCTACTGGAGGCTGCGGTGAACGAACACAAAATACCTATGGTCTCTGTCAGTGGAAGTTTGCACCGGCTGTCGGACGATCATGGTGGTAATACTGAACAAGTACATGCGCCATGGCTACGTGTGTACGATACCGATCTACCCGATGATGGGTCTTCTGGACCTGAGGATACTACCAGCCAAAGCCCGGAGAGCGAGGCCACCAAAGTGATCGATGACGATGCAGACGTTGTCAGCTCACCGTCCATGCATCCTGTACCTACAACACCAGTCGACGATGTCTTGCTGGAACCAGTCATTCATCCCGAGCATCAAGAAGTCGAGAAAGATGAGGACAATGATCTACCAATAGTGGAGATGATTCCTATAGAGGAGTCAAAGCTCGAATATCACGAGAGCGACCAGGAGCACCCCTTAGACCCTCCACCACTCGACCAAGATGATACAACCACAGACACTGAAGAAGCGATGGAAGGACATGGAAAGAGTTTGGAGAAAGCGGACGCATCCGATTGGGAAGACTCCGGGTTCCAGGATAATGATGAAGAGATCTTCTATGAGCCAAGTACCAATCTTGCGTTTGGTTGCGGGGACGGAGCTGTAAGCGACGCATTAGAAGCACATTACGAATCACCTATCGACGACCAAATCAGAATCACACCCTGGATCGAGGATGGCAGCGAACTAAAGGGTTCTTAGAGGATCACGGACACCGTCCCACCTCATAGCTACGATTCAATAGTCAAACAAACTTCATTTCACGTCATTACATATCCTCATACAAGACTCTCCTCCTCTTCCACCAACTGAATCAATCCACTACGGAATCGATCCTTGTCTTCTTCCCCTCCTCCTTCTCCGCCTTCTTGGCTTCTTTTTTCGCCTTGCCCTCCGCCAATTTCTCCTTGGTCTTGGCCAAAGCGGACTTTGCGGTACTCCCCACCTTGGATTTGACCTTGTAGGAAAACTTGTCCTTCTTTTTGGCGTCCAAGTCTTCCATTGTCGTCATTCTGTCTGGTGGGAGAATGGCATCGAAGGTGTGGGCTGTGTTGACACTATTCAGGCGCGGCCTGTTCGAACACAGATAAGTGGTGGTGTTTTTGGCGGAGGACATCGCTGTGAGGTGCGTGTGATATAGTGTTTGTGATGGTCTGCGGGTATATAGGACTCGAGAGTCGAACATTATATAGGTATGTCAGAATGCTCTGTCGGTCTGCCTCGAGCAGTCCACTGTGAGCGAACATGTTGATTTGAGTATATACGAATGAGATTGAAGTGCATTGTGAGTGATAGCGGTCGAAAGCATGCGCTAAATAGTCATAGTTGACGATATAAGACACTACGTTGCATTGTTTGGAACAGCCCATACTGTCTGACTCGGGAAAGACATGTTTAAGACGACACTGCAGTCGTGGACAGTCTTGTCTCATAGACTAGGTGCTTGACCAGCTGAACTAGTCCATTGTATTCCAGCTTCTAGTCGCAGTCGGTATGAGATGACAAGTTTCGAGCTGCACAGAGCTGTGACTTCGCGCAGAACTGGCACCCCAATATTCTGCCATGCCGCTTCTCGAACGTCTAGTGCGTGATTGCAAACTACCGCAGCTTGTATACATCCAATTCGCTAGTTCCTCGCCCATTCGTTCTCGACACTAGGCTGCTGGTCGCGCTCAATATGTCCTGGCAGCGCGCCATCGAGGCGGCGATTGCCCTCCTCAATAGCACGGACTGAGTCCTGGCTGTCTTCTTCCGTCTCTTCCTCGATGCGGTCGGAGTAACGGCTGCTGTTGTATCCGCCGGGCATGTAATCAATGGCTCGTCGAGGCTCGGTGTCGCCGTTGCGCTCGTCGGCGATCATGCGGGAGATGCGGTCCGGCGCAATACGATGCAGCCAGGACTCCTTCTGTGTGGGAATAGCGATGATGAGAATCTAGGGAGTCAAATTAGCATTGGCGTCTCGGAGCGCTGTAACCCCCACTACGTACCTGCCAGATGAAAACCATGCCCACGACGGACATGAGCATGCCGGCAACTACTTGCTCCTCAGCCTTCCAAAACCTAAGGCAGCCATCAGCTCTGCCAGCATACGTGATCTGGCATGCGTCGGCCTTGTGTGTTTTGTCTGGAAACGGCCATGCCATGTCGCGCGCGTTGGCTAGGCCACAGCACTCAAAGGCATCCTGGATCTGGCGGATGGCACTCGCATCCTTGTGCTTGAACAACGTCTGCCAGCGCTCGCGCAATCCGCAGTCTAATCCAGAGGGCGGCGCGGCATGAGTGCCGACGAGGGTAATGACGACCGACGAGTAGATGAAGATGAGCGTGTTCGCGATGAGTACGAGAGGCGGGCGCTGGATCTCGCCGCGCGCCAGATGCTTGCGACGCTCTTGCCGGCGCGTGAAGTCATAACCGCACTCGAGCAGGAGGCCTGAGACGATGGGTAGAGCCGTAGTGAAGCCGGTCAATGTGTCGGAGATGGGCACAGAACGAGCGTTCGCGCGGGAGGCAGCCCACCTAGACGTGTTAGCGCGGTCCTAGCATCGTCGGTTACGACGTGAGTTTACCCTGCGAGCGCGGTTGCGATGACGAGATACTGGATATTGTTAGAACGAGCACGTGAAAGCTCGCACCGTATGAGACCCTACTAGCACGCTGATGCAAGTCACGACCTGCTTCCTGGTGTACGTCATTCTGCCGATGGTGACTCGGAGTCAAGCAGCCTAGTTGATGCTAGAGGCGGCTAAGCAGAGTAGTAGCAAAAGCGAAAGAATTCGTCGTAAGCGATGTCGCGGAGGCAATGGCAGACTGGCAGACCTGCAGCGGGAGATGGGAGGAACTTTGGTGCTGTATAGCTTTGGCTTCTCCGCATCCCAAGCAGGCGGTAGGTTACCGCCGTACAAGGGTGCCGAGGACCTTCTGCATCTATCTCAGCGCAGAAGATGATTACTGCTCACCTTGGTGCCTATCTTTGCTGGGCGTCACCGTGAAACGTGCAAAGCCTGAGCATGCCCTCATCGGTGAGACGCAGGCCACGGCAAGGGCAGTCCGCGGAGGACAAGCCA